AGATGTATAGTGAGTGGTACTGGTACAAATTAGATTTAGCTATAGTTCCTTTTCTTTTCACATTTCATACTTTATTTTGTTATTTCTTATTCCCATTCTGTACCTTGCATAGCATTTCTTTTCTCTGAAGTGGAACAGTGTGATAGGTAAGCATGTATATATACAGTAGGACAAGATGGTGCTGTTTCAACATGGACTGGATAGTAACAGGTTATTTTTTCCTGGTTCTCCTTCTGAAGTTAAATGTATTTTTTTTTTACTACTACTACTACTATTTTATTGTTATTATTGTTTTGAAGAGTCAGAATGGGAAGCAGTAGGGAAATAAAATATTTTAATACATTATATTTATTGGTGAAGGAGTAAGCTCTGTGAGCCAGTCCGTCAAAAGAGGTATTTGTGTTGGCAGCCATCTGTTCAGCGTTCGAAATAATAGAATAGCACAAGCATGGATTTTGTAAATTCCCCCTTTTCCATCCTTTTTGCTGAAAATAAAAGTCTTATCAAAACTTAAATAGTTTGCCTAGCAGGTATCTCCATATCCTCTTACACTGATAATATCAGCATTTTCTTTGTGTGCTAAATACAAACTTTTGTCTATATCAGACAAGACATAATTGTTAACCAACTGTCATCAATAAGCTGAAGAGCAGGAAAAAAATCCTTTGGGGGCTTTGGGAAAAGGGAAGCAGATGACCATCATTACATCGAGACTCTTTTTGTCACAGAAAAAAGAAACAAAAATACTCACTATTACAAGCCTGCTCTAACTAGAAAATATTGAATTTTACAGTTTCTTTAGAGATTTAAACAAGAAGGGAGAGCCAGATTTACTTTTAGATATTTTGGAATTTGACAAATAAAACATGCTTTCTGATTTGGATAATTTAAATAGCATAATTTTGGTGTACACATTGATTTCGTATTAAAGTTTAGCTCCAGTTAGTGCTTATCCAAGGTACACTTTAGTCTGAACAATACCATGCTTATCCTTATAATTTAGTAAATAATATAAAGAGTGAACAGATTTTTTTAAAAAACTGTGACTCAGAGAAATTCAGTTTACATAAAGAAGTTCTGTAATTTTTATCCTGTATTAGTTATCTGTTTTATTTAACGCTGTGTGGTTGATGAGACAACTAGGTACTAGGAATTAGACACTACCAAGAAAACATCTTTCTGGGAGTGTGCATAGTTAATGCTCCATCCCATCACGGTCATATAGAATGGCAGTATAATCTTCATCAATAGATCTGAGATGATGCCTAAAAGCATGACGTGAATTTCCTGGAAACTTAAAGGCTTGCAACTTTTAAAGTTTAAGATAATCAATTCATTAAAGTATTTTTCAAGAATAAACATCACACTGCACAGGCATCTGGCTTTAGCACATCCTAATCTGGTGTACCCAAATGTGTTGTGTTACACATAGCAATGCTGGAAGTTGTAGTTTTCAGACTTCAGAAGGGGCATCAGCTTAGAGAAGTTAGTCTTGGTATATTCCTAAAATGCTGAGATTCTGTGTACCTTTTCCTCCCTGTGTATTTTCCTCCCAATCCAGTTGAGTAGCTTTTTTAAAAAAATATTTTCTTGCCTGTTTCTCATCTCCAGGTTGCAGTGCTATATAGAAATGGTATGAAAAAGATAAAAATGTTTTGCATATATAATTGTTCTTATTAAATAATAGTAAACAACAAGAGGTGTTGCTTAAATTTGGATCATCAGGATTGCCTAAAAATCTAGTGGTAGAATTAAAATAACATCAATTGATATAAACCCCAGGATCATCAACTGATAAATCTAAGGTTCTTTGCATAAGGTCTCTCTCTATCATACACTATGAAATGCACTTAACAGGCTTTATAGTCACTAAAAGCATTTCACGTAATTTGGTAGCAATAAGATCTTATGGGATGTTTTGTACAGATATGAGAGTACAGGTGCCATGTATTTCTCTTGGTCTTGGTCCATGTTTTCCCTTTTCCATGATATTTAATCAAAACAATGGATTGCAGTACCTGTTACAGTAGAGTAGTTGGTATGTTTAACAAAGAAATAAAGCTTTGCCTCTAGCCCCGAAAAGGAAGGCAAGTGTCAGGCCCGGCCCAAGAACAATGACGAGGCAGTCCAGTCCAGTATAGTTCGACTAAACCTATGCTAAAGCAACTAGTGGATATACCCCGTAAGACTCTAGGGAGGGTGTAGCCTAAGCCTCTTCTTCTTCTCATGGTCTTGTTGCGGGCTGAGAAAGCGCTTGCCTTGTCCCCTCTCCTGGAATGCACTCTCCCCCTCCTGATAGCCTTGATCTTCCATTCCAGTATCCCCCTCACACAAGCTCTCCATTATAGCAAGTAACCTATATCTTCCATCAGCCCAACTTTTTGATAGGTTTGGAAAGCTCAGAGTTCAATTTCCGGCCTAACCAGACTAATGTAGGAGCCTAAGAATAGTGCTTTATCCTAACTCTCACCAGTCTTCTCCCCACATCCTTTGCTTGAAGCTGTCACCTCTTTCTCCTTCTTTCAGACTAATATACCATAATTGCTTCGATGGTCCAACTTTGTCCAACAGATCTTTATGAAAAACAAGGCTTTCATTATTCTTTGTACATTGAGGGTCATATGACTGTGGTGGGTCTAGAAACCTAATAAATTAATAAAGTATACTAACTCAAATATTTGAATACTTATGTACTCCAGGTGAAAATGCTCTATAATATTAAACTTACTTAATTTAGAACCATTATCCTTTGGGTATAAAGTAAACAGATGAAATCTATACTGGAAAAAATAGTAGACTTAGATAGGTTATGTTGAGTTTAACAATTTAAACCTGACTCTTTTAAATTTCTCCTTGGCATTCACTTCTGTTGTCTTTTGATTTTCTGTCCACTACTCTTATTTGTTTATTCTGTTACTGCGTTTTACATTTTGAAATGCAAGATTTTAAGTTACCATGCAAGGAAATGTATTTACTTTTTCTGACAGAGAAGATATTTCTTTTTAAATTAGTATAAGCCAAGTATATGTGCCTATCCATCTCTAATCTTGGTTATCATTTACAGTTCTGCAATGTTCTACTATTTTCTTAATCATTCAAAGTTTTAAAAGCAAATTATATTGTGGTTTTGATCTCTTTGGTACACTGTAAATTTGGATTCTAAATAATCTGTACTGGATGATTACATGCACACACTTTTTATATATTCATGTTGTAGTGGTAAGAACATAAGCTTTCCTCCCACAAGAATACTGTTCAAATCTCCTTTTGATCATTGAGATTCCAAAAGCTCAGTCTTGTGATGAAGAGGAATATTAGCCTGGACGTATCATTCATCATATGTGTCAAACATTGTTATGTTATATCTGTTATCAGCTTATACATGTAATTTTCCCCCTGCATTATTATGGCTTAGAAGTAGAGTGTTAAAAACCCTAAGCAATAATTCTTTCTGTGGCTGTTAACCCTCCAAGCTCATAAAATCAGAACTATTTTTCCTATTTAAAAAATGCTTTAGCTAAATCTCAAGTAACTCAAGTAAATGAACTTGATTCTTCTAATAAATATCTTAGTTATTAAATATAAGCATGAACTCAAAGGACATAAGTGGTATTTATTTATTTATTTATTTATTTATTTATTTAAATTTAATTAATTTAATTTAATTTACTTCACTGTGTACAGTCACTTCTTTCCCAAGCAACTCTGGGCAGCTAACAAGTTAAAAGCACCAAAAGCTATGTCCACTACGGGGAAAGAAGTTACTAATCAACACATATAACACCACAAACACTTAACTTGCATAATGCAGCTAACATCTAACAATGACTTACAGAACATCCTGGCCTAGTGCTCAGGGAAAGAGTCACATCTTCAGCCTCTTTCTAAAGGCCAGCAAGGTCTGGGCCTTCTGAGTCTCAGGCAAAGGGCTGTTCCATAGGGCGGGCATAGCAACACAGAAGATATACTTCCAGAGTCCCATAATATAGGACTGTTTAATAGATGGGACCCGGAGCATGTCAATTCTGTCAGTTCTGATTGAGTGGGCATAGATAATTGGATGGTCCTTCAAATATCCTAGATTTGAGCCCTAAAGGGCTTTATAGAGGATAACCAGGGCCTTGAATTGCAACCCGAAACCATTGGTAATCAGTGCAGCTCAGTGCAGCACATTAGCAGAGTTAGATGGGCATATTGAGGTGCATGCATAACTACCTGCACTGCTACATTCTGGACCAGCTATAGCTTCCGATGGTTTTCAAGGACAGCTTCATGTTAGAACGCATTGCAGTAATCCAAACAAGAGGTCACCAAGATGTGAGTGACTGCGACTAGGTGCTCCTGATCCAGGAACAGGCACAATTGATGTACAAGATAAATTTGTGTGAAAGCCTTCCTATCCACTGCTGCCACTTGCAAAGAGATGAAAGTCAAAGAGGACCCCCAAACTTCGCACCAGTTCTGTGTGAGACAGTACAGCCCCATCCAGAACTAAAGATGGAAGGTCTCCAGGATCGGGCTGTCCCAGAATTCACAGCATTTCAGGGTTGCTACGTTGAGCCTAAGCCTGTTTCTGTGGCCTGTTCCATCCAGATTATTACAGCATCCAGACACTGAGATGGAACCGAGGCTGCATCACTTGAGTGACCAGGGATTAAGGTCTATAGCTAACCCATGTTGCCAGATGATCTCTCCAGTGGCTTCACTTAGATCTTTAATAGGAGAGAGGGCATCATCCCATAAAGTAAGAGCCTAAGATTAGGTCGTTCCCCCCCCCCATCAACCCCAGCTGGAACTAGCCCTCATGTTGTCATCTGGAAGACCCTTGCTCCTTTCAGAGGTGCTGCTCCCCAGGTAGCTAGATGTGAGCTAAAGGGGGGGGCAGAGGGGGGGACCCTTTGATTATACTGCAGAATATGCTGTGCTTGTGATTCATATACAGTGCCTTCATCTATATTCAGATTTTAATTTGTACGTGTCTCTTTTTCTTTTACAAACAGTTTGCCGAAAATGAAAATGGCCAAGCAAAAATCACAACATTCAAGAAGCAGCTCACTAATATCCAAGAGTAAGCGAAGAAGAAAATAGCAGACATTTCAGACACTGTATTTTGTTACAGAAATTTCTAAAATGATTTTACTTCTGAAGTTTTAGAGGCATATATCTGGACTCAAGTTCCATTCCCAGCAATGAACATCGCTTCAAAATAAATGTATCTTTAATATTAACAGCTGTATATCTGAGTGGCGTGAAAAGTATTACACTCAGAACGTAAGCAGCAATTCAGCTCTGCTGTA